CAAAACTAAGGCCTAAGGATGACTTTAAGACGTGAACATGGTCATCTTTGTTTTGTAACATTAAATTAAAAAAAAAAATTAAAAAACTTCCTGATCCCCGATTTTTTTTCTCCCGATTCCGATCTTTTGAAAATCACGTGATCGGCTCCGATCCCCGATCACGTGATCGGATCGGGACATCTCTACCCCAAACAGCTGCTTCTATATACTTGCTGCACATATAATACAAATAAACAACTTGATAAACACACTTTTGCTGATATTTGTGTTACTGCTGGTGATGTTAAAGTACATGATTGATTTCCTCTGTCTCAATGATGAAAGTTATAATAATAGAAGACATGAAACTGCAGAGAGAGGATGGATATATTCTTACCTCTACTTTGTGATTAGATGAAAATACAATATTAAATAGTAATTGTTAAACACATTGTTAATTTAATTTACTGAGGTTTTATAACCATTATTTCCGACTTGTGTACATAAGCAGTGGAATAATAGGATATCTCTAGGTCATTCAACTGTCTTCAGTTTAATTTTATTAATACAAAAAATAGGTCATAGAAAATGTTTAATTGTGTATTTCAGCAGAGCGGGGGGTCACGGTGCTGCTGGACCTGGAGGTGCTGACCTGGTGTCAGTGGGACATCATCTGGGCAGGTTTAGGGGGAAGAAGGAGAATATAAACTATTATAATCACAGCTATTAAGATTAGAACACTAATATTGTTAACAATCAATCTATACAACATGCTTTTGTTCTTTTAAAAAACATATTGTTTTATTAGTACAGAAAAATTAAGACTTATTTTAAATATGAAATAATGTGATTAAATTACATCAGCTATATTTAATTAATTTGTTAACTTACTAATGTAACATTACTGGGGGCTAAAGGAACAGCTTCGCCTTATTTACCTGGCCATGGTTCTCTTTATTTAATCTCCGACGGTGATCTCCAAAAAATGTAAAAGTAAAGTTTCTGGATCCTTTTCAGCTAATTTGCTAGCAGGTTGCTGGAGCAACGCAACCGAACAGCGCGTCTCACGTGACGTAAATACGAAGCGCTCCGTTGGCTAGACCGTGGCCCTTTCTCATTTCTCTAACTCCCCTCCTCGACTCCTATCCTCGAGACTTAGTCCCGCCCACAGGAGATGCGAGTGGAGGAGCCGAGGAGGGGAACCGAGAAGAGAGGAGGGGAAGCAGCAGGCGGTTAGACGAGAACTCCTCTCCTCTGAGCGGTCATTTTAAAGAGACGTCCATTAATGATGACAGGGGGCACAGCAGCACTCTGTCTGATGGACAGATGTGTTCATGACGACTTACTTTTAATTCATTCAAAGTGCGGTATAATGAGACAATAACAGGCTACAGATGCGGACACACACACACACACACACACGTATATTTATATAAATATATACAATTTCAGAATCAAACAGAGCACTCTCATAATAACACTAACAGAGACTGGATATATCTCCCCTCTCCCCTCTCTGGTCGCTACAATGAGGAAAATAAATTACGGGCCAAAAGTTTTATTTACAAGTAGGCTATTAAAAGTAAGCAGAGGACACCAAACCAACTGAGACCTGTCCGTCCGCTGCATACGCACACACTGTACCACACACACGCACCTACAGGTGCTAAAACAGGCTACAGCCGTTGTGTATTTTATTATGTGAAGCACTAAATGGTCTTAGAAAAATATCGACTCTTTGTTTGTAGATATCTACTAAACTAAAGCAAATACAGAGAGTAGGCCTGTTATATTGAGTGATATATATTATACACACTGCTCTGCTTTCTGCACAGACCTCACAGCTGTTCTCACTGTAAACATCGCGTCGCGATGAAAGCAGAATAAAATAATATCCAGGGGATGCATGCAGAGCTGTCATTGGCTGAGATAAGTCCGGCCGTGCGTCACGACTCTTAAACATCTCTGTTCCCGGAAATGCATCCACGAAGGAGCCGTGGAGGACCGTGGAGGACCATACTTGTCAACCCTCCCGATTTTCGCGGGAGACTCCCGATTTCATTGCCCTCTCCCGGTTTCCTCCCGGGGTCATATTTCTCCCGATTTCTGACAAAAATC